GCAGCAGGGGCCGGAAGAAGGCAGCAGGGGCCGGAAGAAGGCAGCAGAGGTTGGAAGAAGACAGCAGAGGCTGAAAGAAGACAGCAGAGATTGGAAGAAGGCAGCAGGGGCCGGAAGAAGGCAGCAGGGGCCGAAAGAAGGCAGCAGGGGCCGGAAGAAGGCAGCAGGGGCCGGAAGAAGACAGCAGGGGCCGAAACAAGGCAGCAGGGGCCGGAAGAAGACAGCAGGGGCCGGAAGAAGACAGCAGGGGCCGGAAGAGGGCAACAGAGGCTGGAAGAAGACGGCAGAAGCTGAAAGAAGACGGCAGGGGCCGAAAGAAGGCGGCAGGGGCCGAAAGAAGGCGGCAGGGACTGAAAGAAGGCGGCAGAGGCTGGAACAGAGACAATGAGGGCTGTGTTGTAAGAGAAGACAAAGAGCCAGACCACATTGGGCTTTGTGGGACACCTCGAGGAGTTTTGCCTTTATCCTCCAAGCAATGGAAAGCTGCTGAACGGTTTTCATTGGCAGGGCATGGTGACAGGATGCGGCTGGTGTCACAGAAAACCACACTGGCTGGATGCCGAATGTGGATAGGACAGAGGACGAGCACCTTAGCCTAGTGTCCTTGTTTGTTTCGTGTTGCTATCACAGAATGGCAGGGACCGGGTATTTTATATGAATAGAAATTTATTGGCTTATGGTTCTGGAGACTGGGAAGTCCAGTGTCAAAGTGGTAGCCTTCGGCCAGGGCCTTCTTGCTGCGTCATCCCATGGCAGAAGGTGGAAGGGCAAGAGAACACAGGAGAGCAAGAGGGCAAGAGGACCAGAGCCCAAGAAGGCAACATTAAACCCCAGGAGAGACAATAGGGGCCGGGATGAAGAGTGTGGTAGACAAAATGCAGAGAAGTAAGTAGATTTGAGCAATATGTTGGACTGGGTACAGGTATAAGGAAAAGGAATGTCAGGGTGTCTCGGGCTTCTCACTTGCTGGAACTAAATGAATATGGTGTGGCTGAACTGGTGAGCAAGCCCCAGTATCTGCTTTCTCCTTTCTCCTTTAGTGATTGCAACAGAGTCCTCTGACACGCCACTTCCAATCTTCTCTGGCTCACTTACCTGTTTTTTTCAGCTCTGGGAGGGCTCTGATGGACCCAAAGCAGGCAGAGTTTGATGGCTCCCTCCCCTCTGGCTCCTGCCATGCCCTTCTCATCTCCCACGTGGGCTTCTGCTGATATCACTGTGCCTGGCATGGTGCCCATGTTTTGCATGGAAACCCAGAAAAGTGAAAGAGTCAGCACCCCACAGAAAAATGTTTTGACCAATGAGAGAAGCCACTGGAGAAATTCTTCCTGCATTCTCTCCCAGGGGTCTGGTCCTCAGAAACCGTTTATACAACTTCATGTCTTGTTTCTATAGATCGGTCAGTTAATATGGACCCTCGTATGAGCTCTCTCTCTCTCTTCTTCACTCTGCTTGTTAGTTACTCCTATCTGGAAACCTTCAGCTCTGGACTCTGCTTTCCAGGAAACCCTGTGGTATGGTTTAAATGGGTCCTGCAAAATTTATGTGTTGGAAACGTAATCCCCAATGCAACAGTGTTGAGGTGGGAACTTGAAGAAGTGATCAGGTCATTAGGGCTCATGAATGGAGTAATGGATGGATTAATGCCGTTGGATAGATCAATGCTCATAAATGGATTAATTCTATGACCTCAAAGTGGGTTAGTCATCATGCGAGTGGGTTTCCAATAAAAGAATAAGTCCAGCCCCCTTCCTTTCTCTTGCTCTCTTATGTTCTTCTTGCCCTTCCACCTTCTGCCATGGGATGACATCCCTGCCCAGACGCTACCACTTTGACACTGGATTTCCCAGTCTCCAGAACCGTGAGCCAATAAATTTCTGTTCAAATAAAATACCCAGTCCATGCCATTATGTTATAGCAACACAAAACAAACTAGGACACTAGGCTAAGGTAGTAATAGAATATCCAAGTGTTAGCTGGGAACACACTACCCAGCTAGAGAGTAGATGTCCCGGCTTCCCTCACAACTACCTGCAGCCTTCTCAGTGTGATATGAACAAAGTGACATGTGCTTCTTCTGGGTCACATTCTTTGAAAAAGGAAATTGCTTACTCATTATATCGTTTCTCTTTCCTTTCTCATATGGTGGAACATGGACGTGGCTAGCAAGCCAGCTTTGACCATGCAGATGAAGACAACATCCACAGGGAAGCAGAGCAGCCGGACACTGTGTGCAGGAGAGCTGCGCCACCGGACAGCTTCTGGCTTATTAACAGAAAGAAAAGGCCAGGTGCGGTGGCTCACCCTGTAATCCCAGCACTTTGGGAGGCCGAGGTGGGCAGACCGCAAGGTCAGGAGTTCAAGACCAGCCTGGTCAACATGCTGAAACCCCATCTCTACTAAAGATACAAAAAATTAGCCAGGTATGGTGGCACACACCTGTCATCCCAGCCACTTGAGAGACTGAGGCAGGAGAATCACTTGAACCCAGGAGGCGGAGGTTGCAGTGAGCCAAGATCACACCATTGCACTACAGCCTGGGTGACAGGGCGAGACTCCATCTCAGGGAGGGGGTGGGAAGAAAGAAAAATGACTGTTTTTAAAGCACTGTCTCTCTGCCTCATATCTTACCCTGTACCATAACTCATACTTAGGGAACAGTGGAACAAGACCTGACTTGAGTGCATTTTGGGGCGTGTTGCATTTGAGAAGGTTTTGAGAAATCTAAGTGAAATAGCAATTGATCCATTAGCTATGAGTCCAGATGTCAGAGAGAAGGTCTGGGCTGAAAATACAAGTTTGTGAATAGCCACACTCCCTTTCACGTGTGGCTGGTAATTAAAGCCTCCATGTGTGTGTGATGGTCTAGAGAGAAGGAAGAGAGTGAGAAGACAGGGGTGACTGTGGTGGGCAGCTTCTAAGGTGACCCCAGTTATCTGCACCTCCTGGTATTTCTGTCCATTTGCAATCTTCTTCACTTGAATGTGGGCTGAACCTAGTGACTCATTTCAAAAATATGAGTCACTGGGCAAAATGGCAAAAGTAACGGGATGTCACATCCAAGACTAGATGACAAAAATACTGGCTTCCATCTTGAGTGCTTCCTCTCTCAATAAGTTGTTTTGAGAGAAGACAACTTTCATGTTGTTAGCTGCCCTGGGGACAGATCTATGTGGCAAGGGCCTGAGGGAGGCTTCTACGCAACAGTCAGTGAGGGACTGGGGCCCTTAGTCCAACCTCTTGTGAAGAACGGAATTCTCACAAAAGCTATCTGTGAGAGGGCTGGGAAGCAGATTCTACAATCCTTCTCAAGCTTTTAGATGACTGAGCCCCAGCCAACACCTTGCAATACCTAGACTGCAGCCATATGAAGCTCTAAGTCAGAAACATCTAGCTAAGCCACAGCCAGGCTCCTGAACCAGAGAAACTGTAAGGTAAAAAGTACCTATTGTTCTAAACTACTAAGTTTGGGGAGAATTTGCTTCTCAGCAA